ATAAAACTTTCGAGTTGGAAATCATGTAAGCAGGAACAAAATAATTTAATTAATTAATTTGTTCATCTGTTGTTGCCTTTTATAGGGTTATCGAGTAATGTGTTTACACTTACCACACACAAATTACCAAAAACCAGATGTCTTGCTCTCTAATCCATTTATTTATTTATTATTTTATCTACCTGGCATATATAGAGTTCATTGATCAATAATTATTTGCGAGATCATTATATAATCAATAAACAGTTTAAAGTAGTAGCCGACTTACTCTCGAATTTTTTAAATCAAATTTAAATTTTAAAATTATATTTTTTAAATTAAAATTCCATTTCAACCCGGATTAGATTATTTCCAGATGGTAAAATAGATAAGAAACATTTCTCTCGCACTCCCTTGTTACAGCAACTTAACACAGAATCTTTGTGGATCATATATATTCGACCTTCAAAGCTTTTTATTTTTACCCAAATAGGCTGAGAATCTGTTTTATGTTTTAAATCATTTACAAAGCTTGATTAGACAGTCGTGGGGGACTTGTCTTCTTTCCTTTTCCTCATGATTTAAAGTGCACTTTTCCTCGAGTAAAGGAGTACATTTTATTAAACAATAGCGGGATGATTTTTTATATAATATGATTACGATATAATATTTTTAATTTTTAATTTATTAAATACGTGTGTATATATATATAGATATAGTTGTTGAACTCGAAATATTAGATGAGAAAAATATTTTATTTTAATAATTTAATTTTATAATATATATTTTTTTTAATTTTATATCTTTAAAATAAAATTATATGTTGGTTCTTAGATAGAATTCGATGGTGGTTGATATTATTATGGGAAGTGCGTGGAAAGAATAAAGTGGTGTTTTGGCAGAATACCTGAGGAAAGGCAAAGAACCATTAGTTATTTATAACATGATCATGAAATGGTGTCCCTTGTTCCTTGATTACTACTATCCAAAAGAGAATGTCACCTTAAAACTGCCCCACCTATATAAAACTCAACAACAATAATGAGTTCGTCATCTCCACATTGCAGCGCCAAATCAAAACAAAGTACAAAATTTTCTTATGGGTGGACGACACAAATCCCACCGAAGCAAATGGCATCGAAACAAACAGGGTTTCAATGCAACGCTTGAAATACACCTTTAAAGATAAAATAAATTTTTTTCCTGTTTTTTTTATAATTCTCGATAACTATGTTTCTATGACACACCTTCGTATGTCTTTATGACATGTTTTTCTTTATCTTTTTGTACATTTTAGGTCGTTTGACATTTTTCGCTTAATTTTCTTAGGGTTAGATTTGACGACGCACGACTAACCAATGGCGCTTATTTATTATCTTGTTAATATTTAGTTCTTTGGATTATTGAATTGAATTTGGATACACAGTTTACGTTCATAGATAGTTTTCTCCTGACACTCGACTCTGATTAGCTATTGTCAATGATCTTTTAATAGTTTGATCCGTTGTGTTTCGTTTGTCGACGCAATCAGATCTGTTTGCATCTATCTTTTGTTTGAGTAGATAGATTTTTAACATTTATTTGTATTATCCATATGATTTCAAATGCCCAGTAGGGGTGTAAATGAACAAAGCTTGAACGAATAAGTTATGTCAGTGTTCGTTTGTTTATTTTTGAAGGTGTTAATGTTCGCTTCGTGTTTGTGTTCGTTTATTTATTATTGAAGTTATTTGTTAACATATCCTTTTAATGTTCATGAACATGTCCATTTATATGTTCACGAACATGTTCGTTTAACGTTTAATTAGTGTTCTTTTAGTGTTTGTTTAATGTTAGTTTATATGTTCAATTTTTAGTTTTACCATTTCATTTTTAATCTAAATAAAAATGGTAAATTATACCACTAGTGCTTAATTCCTTAAAATTCACAATTTAAGTTTCAACTTTTACCATGTATTTAATTTAGTCCCTAGATTCACCAATATTTAAAATATAAAAAAGAAAAAGAAAAGGAGAACCGGGTAAACGAGCTTGTTCGTGAACATAAATGAACGAGTCGATAAATGAGCTTGTTCGTGAATATAAACGAACCGAACACCTTTGTACATATTCATTCGTTTTTTTAAATGAACATAAATTTTTTTTATGTTTATTTAGCTTAACAAATGAACATTATACGAATGATTCATGAACAATTGTCCGAACGTTTTGTTCATTTACACCTCTAATAGCTAGTTTCTTCTGTTAATAAATGAATATGATCTAATTATATGTTCATTACCATATTAGATATTATCTATTTTTTTAATAAAACTAAATGCTTATATTTACATAAAAAATATTATATAATAATAATTAAAAGCAAAAACAACCTTTAAAGTTAGGACACATTGAATTATACTCTATGCTTTTGGCCACTTTAATTTTTTTGAAAATATTTATAAAAAATTATATAAAAAAAATAAATATCATTTTTAAAAATATTAATATTAATATTTAAATTTTCTAATTCCGTGACTATCTACCTCTAATATGTTTCATATTTATAAAAAAAATTAGCTGATCCTATTCCCATATGTAATGGGGTAAGGGAGGTAGGGTAGTACTGCCCCCAACGCTAGGTTGAGAGCAACTTCCGTGGAAGACCTCCGGCAATTATGAAGAAACTTCTTTCCAGCTACTGTGTAGAGAAGAAACTTCTTTGGGTTCTTCAATATTAGATTGAAGCCAATCCTTGGCATCGAAGAGTTGGTTTAGTTTCGGTCAGCAGACAGAGTCTCAGAAAGACCTCAACGCTATAAATCAAATTTCCAAAGGCCGAAAGGGAAATTGACTTCTAGAATCTACCCTTTAATTCTAACCTCTAACTTCCAAGTTCCAACTCCAATGCAAACAAGTCTAGGGTTTAATACTGCAAGGGCGGTGCATGGTTTTTTCATTTGTTGTTGGGACGGATTTTTTTACTTTAATATATTTTTTGAATTAGACATTTCTTTTCAATTTAATATTTAAATACTTTCTATTTTAAAATTAATATTTGAATTGAACATATTCTTTTGAATTGATACTTCGATTTTTTTGTTGTTGATATTTTAACTTTTATTTAATCTCTTATTTTAATAATTTTATTAACGATTAGGTATAATTATACTGGTGTAACATGTTTTTACAATCAACTTATAAATTTCACTAGATTTTATTTAAAACATAATAAATTTTAATATATTAAGTATAATTAAAAAATTTAATTACACTCTTCAAGTCTAAAAAACACGAGAATTGGTGTATTTATAAAAGTACATACACTCTTTCATATTTTTATATTATTATTATTTCAAACATTGATATTTTATTATTATCATATTAGTTTTTTATATAAATAATAATTGTTTTATACATGTATATTTTTTTCTTTTAACATTATTTTTTAGCAATTCTTATAACATTAACTTTATATTTTAAAATAACTTTTATATATTTATTTATACATGAAGTTCTTAAATAAATGTGTAAATATAATTTGTATAAAAACATAACATAATAATTTAAGATATGATCTTATTATTCTTATCAAACATATTTAGGTAATTAAAATTTCTTGTAATTATACGTAATTATAATTATAATTACACTCAAAGGATATAACGTGCATGTTTATTTTCACATGATAATTCATCAAATTCAAATATGGTGGCCCCTTCTTGTGCCATGAATGAGATCATTATTAGAAATAAATATAAAAGTTTATGTTTTTTTTAATAGAAGTTAATTTTATTAAAAATATAATGATGGTTACAATTATAACCGTAAATTGATAAGGACATTTTTCTATAATCATTAACACATGAAAACTAGTCACTTAATATCACAAAAGAACCATGTAAGAAAAAGATAAAAAACCTAACCAAATAAACTCGAACAAAAGGTAAATACGAATAGATCTGATCGCATCAGCAAACAAACTACAAAATGATATCAAGTTATTGAGAGAACATCGACAAATCGCAAATCAGAGTCGAGCGACGTGAAATATTATCCACGAGTGCAAATCACATATCCAATTTAATATGAGGGTCTAAAGCAGAGAAGATCAGCATGATAACAAATAAGTGTTATATTAGTCATTTGTAGTGATGTCAAATCCAACCCTAATAAAAAAAATAAACAAAAATAACGATTAAATGCCTGAAAATATGTAATAAAGGTAAAGTTATTAAAATTTAAAAAAAACAGAAAAAGAAAAAAGCAAAGATATATTATAATAAAATAAAGAAAAAATAATGAATACCGACAGTCAACGACCAATACTAAGACTGGTACCGTTGCCATCACTAAGATAAAGAGGAAAAAGACTAACGATAATCAAAGAAAAGAGAGACAACCATGACATAATTATACGAAAATTTACATTTTTATCAATAATAAAAATATAAGAAATAGTATTATTATTTGTATGAAAAATTAATTTTTTTATCAACCGTCCCCGATATTTTCCGGTCCATCCTTCGTAATAATTAGAAATCTCCCAAACAGATTATCATAAATACGTAGCACCGATGGACAACCGCCTTTAATAGATCTATCCAGAAGACAACGGCGTAAATGCAGAGGAAAAAAGGCTCACCTCATTGCCTCCTTACATTCTCCGTTGTAGTCGTAGTTTTGACGGTACTAATTGAATGGGCAGAAACCATGCAAAGTATATAATCATCTGATAAGAACAATTACCATACACTCATAAATTGGGTAGTTAATTTAATCAATCAAAATTCCACGGAAATTAAAAACAGATGCTTATGAAAGTTGTTGGTGCAACTGAGGTCCAAAACCAAATGAAGAATGTTCCAATCAATTATGTTGGCAAACCAAATTTGAGTACACGTACAACCACTGGCTACATCCACCTAAGCTGATATGACACATACTGCATTTATGTAATAACCAGTGGCAGTTGAGAAAAACTGTTGGAGCGGGGGTGTTACTTGTCCTGACAATAGTTTCTCATTATAAATGTGGAGCTGTCTTGCCCTATCCATTTCTTGCAACACTTTCTTTCTGTAGATTTATTTTACTCGGATCTCCATGAAGGTTCTCTCGCCGGTTCTTGCTTTCGTAGCAGTAAGTTTTCCCATTTCATGTGATTGATTTTTGTCGAGAGTAAAGAAGTAACGAGTTTTTCGCTTTACCTGAACAAAATGTTTGTTGTTTGTTTTTGTTGCAGCTTGCTGTGGTGGCAAGCCATGCTGCTCTCTCACCTGAGCAAATTGGAACGATAAGCTGCCAAATACTGAAATGCCGAAAGTCGTCCAAGAAATGCTATCCTGGTGAGTGTTCAATATGTTCATGCCATTAATCTCCATGGATGAGGAAATATGTTAACTGACGCCATTCATTTTTGTGTATTTGCAGAAATTGGGGGAGAAAAGTACATCTGTGAATGCAGGTGGTGGCGGTGTAAACGTCAATACAGGAAAAGGGAAGCCTGGGGGTACTTCCGTGGACGTCGGAAAGGGCGGAGTTGGAGTGAACACCGGGAAAGGAAAGCCAGGGGGTGGCACCCATGTAAACGTCGGAAAGGGCGGAGTTGGAGTGAACACCGGGAAAGGAAAGCCAGGGGGTGGCACCCATGTGAACGTTGGAAAGGGCGGAATTGGAGTGAACACCGGGAAAGGAAAGCGAGGAGGTGGCACTCATGTGAGCGTCGGCGGCAAAGGTGGAGGAGTATCTGTAAACACCGGGCACAAGGGAAAGCCAGTAAACGTTAATGTTTCACCGTTTATTTACAATTATGCGGCCACCGAGACTCAAATCCATGATGACCCGAATGTGGCACCTTCTTTTTGGAAAAAGACTTGCACGCCGGTGCAGCGATGACCCTGCATTTCACCGAAAATACTGAGAAATCAACTTTCTTACCATACAAAATATCCCAAACGATACCGTTTTCATCTGACAAGTTGCCAGAAATTTTCACCAAATTTTCAGTAAAACCTGGATCAGAAAAGGCAGAGACGATGACGAACACGATCAAGGAGTGCGAAACAGCCATCGATTCAAGGAGAAGAAAAATACTGTGCAACCTCACTCAAGTCAATGATCGATTTCAGCACTTCCAAGCTCGGGAAAATAGATCAGGCAGTCTCAACAGAGGTGGAAAAACAAACCCCTAAGCAGAAATACACAATAGCTGCCGGAGTACAGAGAATTGCAGGCGGCAAAGCTGTAGTATGCCACAAGCAGAATTACGCATACGCCGTTTTCTATTGCCATAAATCAGAAACAACCAGGGCTTACACGGTTCCTTTGGAGGGTGCCGACGGAACAAAAGCCAAAGCAGTAGCAGTGTGCCACACAGATACATCGGCATGGAACGCAAAGCATTTGGCTTTTCAAATCCTTAAGGTTGAGCCAGGAACCATTCCCATCTGCCATTTCCTTCCTCAGGATCACATTGTTTGGGTCCCAAAGTAAAATCCTGAAGAGTAACTCATACCCTATGCGTTTGGACGGGAAATATTCAAGAGAATGAAATCCACATTCTCCGTTTGGTTAGTCGATAAATTTCATTCTCGGTAATGTAAGATTATCAATAGTGAATTTTTAGGGTATATATCAGAATGTCATTACCTCCCTTTTCTTAGGTATTGTTGGATTACCGACGTTTTGGACTAAAATGTCCTTAAATTTTTTCTTTTAAAAATATCTCTTCTATCATTGAATAATAAAAATTTTACGAATGTTAAATTACAAATTTATCCTTAAACTATTTTAGATTTACAAAAAATCTATAATTTAAATTTTATATGAATTTCAGGGGTTAAAATAAAATTTTATCCTTTCATTAAACCTTTTTATATTTTTAATTTTGTAAAAAAAATTATATAAATTTTATGAATTTAAATTTTTAAAGAAAATATAAATATTTTTCAACTTGTTAAAAAAACAAATATATAATAAGGACAATTTGGTCAATATATATTCCAATAATCTTTTATTCTTTTAACTAAACACGGTAATTACATTCCTGCTAAGCCAACTAAACACAAAATACAACATTCTCAGTAATCATATTCCCTGGTAATCTTACATTCCCACTGATAATCTTATATTCCGTGAACCAAACGCACCCTTAGTGTGCATTAAAACGGCTTAAAGAGATATCCAGTTTGTTCTATAATAGGTATACCTCAAACCCATCGAGTTGAGTTATGCAGAAGGTATCCATGGATCATGTTCTTAGTAATGGATAAAATTATATTACTTACTGTATCACAATGGTCTGATGATAAATCTACAAGAACATCATGTTATTTGTTTGTTTTGGTATGCATGAGAATTTTCTTAATGGATTGTTCATGCCATGAATCTCCATGGATGTTAATATAGCAAAACCAACATTAAATGTTTTTTCAGAGATGAGTAGGTTCCAAACTACATAACACAAGGGTCGGCTTTGAGACATGTACGTGTAATGTCTTATTGGGGTGAGAAATGTTAATTCCACGTCGGAAAGAGAACAGAAAATTATAAACAAAAATAATAACAATTAAATAAATGGTGCTGAAAACTGCATAACCACCAGAAAAGGAAAGAAAAATCTAATTCAAAAGACAATTGGATACGGATCTTTACAATATGGTTTAGGGGTTTTACTCTCTCTTTTAATATAAAAATGAAGATTAAAATTAAAATTTTCATAAACTTTAAAGAACATGAATTGAATTTTTTAAAACTTTAAAGAGTTTAATTAAAATGGTAATGAATTGGATTGAATCGATTTTATCTCACACAAATTTGATATGCGTATAACAGTCATTTACCTGATCTAAGTCGGGTTTGTAAAAAAGCACCCGACCTAAAATTCAATTCGATCTTTGGAGTAAAATCTCACATTCGATGTTACGCAAATATATATAAATTCTCATTTGTATTGAGTAAAATAGAAATCTAAATGGAAAAAATTAGTCAAGAGTGTATTTAAAAACTATCCATAAATATAAAGATTAATTATACTATTATTTTCAAAGCATGTTAAATATTTATCAACCTAACTTTGAACTCGATTAAACCCAACATTACCCATTAGAAACAACAACAACAACACAACAAAACCCTATTTCCATATGTAATGGAGTTAGGGGGAGATAGGGTAGTAGGCTGTCTCAACGCCAGGTTGAGAGCAGCTTCCGTGGAAGACATTCGGCAGTCAGAAAATTTTTAAAATAAAGATAAAATACAATGCATGTATAAATAAAGAAATAAATAAATAAATACATAGTTGAACAATCTTTATATGCGGTCTTCATATGCGCGTCTGTAATGGGAAGTTATTCTTGCAAATATATCACTGCGTACAAATCTCTGAATATAGACAAAAAAAACGTGAGTCCCGAATAAATTTAAAAGACGAAACATGAGAAGGATATACAGAATTCAGTGGTTGCAAGCTACGATAAAAGAATAATGTCAAATGGGTTAAAACTTAAACTAATGCAACACTACTCCGCTATCCTAATTCTAATCCTCCAAAAATTCCCATGACAAAAATGTATTAAAAGTAGAAGTCAATGAAATTACTATAAAGGCATTAAAAAGAAGGTAGAGATGCTACACCATATGGATGTGACCTACACTACTCTGTTACCCTGGTCTTAAGTCTCCATACTTTCCTATTAGAGGTCATGTCCTCGGTAAGGGCTAAATCCTTCAAATCAGATCTCAAGCAGTCTACCCACTTCCTCCTTGGTCGTCCTCTCCTTATGACACCGTCGACTATAATCAACTCTACCCTCCTAACCGCATCTGACTGTTGTCTCCTAAAGACATGCCCAAACCACTGTAGTCTTCCCTCCCTTAATTTTTCGGATACAATCATCACCCCCAAAGACATCCTAATTGCAGAGTTTGGAGTCATTTCCCACAGATTCTTACCACATGTCCATCGAAGCATTCTCATTTCTGCGGCCTCCATCCTCTTTACGTGATCCTTCTTGATTGCCCAACATTCTGATCCATACATCAGCGCTGGTCTTATTGCAACTCTATAAAATTTTCCTTTAAGTTTTAGAGGCACATTCTTGTCACACAAAACTCCTGTAGCTGCCTTCCACTTTAGCCATCCTGCCTTTATACGGTACGTTACATCATCATCTACACCCTATCTTTATGTATCATAGACCCTAGATACTTGAAACAATCCTTAGAGGGGAGAACGTGTCATTCGATGCATACGTCTACGTCTTTATCGTTTTGGTTCCCACTGAAGTTTGAACATAAATACTCTGTCTTTTCAATATTGATCCTTAGACATTTTTCTTCCAAAACTTTCTTCCAGTTATACAGTCTACTATTCAACTCAGTTTTTGTTTCAGCAAATAGGACAATGTCGTCAGCGAAAAGCATACATGGAACACCGTCTGGTGTCGCATAATAGATGTCGTTCATAATCAATGCGAAGATGTAAGGGCTAAGAGCCGACCCCTGATGGAGTCCGATTTCTACTAGGAAAGCTTATGTGTCCCCAACTGTAGTCCTGATATATGTAGTAGATCGACAGTATATATCACGAATCGTCCAGATATAAGCAGTTGGGGTCCGTCTCGTTTCCAAGATCTTTCAGATCGTATTGCGGGAAACGTTATCATACGCCTTCTCAAAGTCAATGAATGCCATGTGAATATCTCTATTTTTTTCCTATATTTCTCCATAAATAATCGAAATAGATGAATCATCTCCGTAATACACCTATTAAAATGTTCAGCTATAATGTGATTCTTACGTGGTTCTTTGGAAGAAACAGAAATTGAGTTTTTATGTTCGACTCAAATCGGTTCAGATTAGTTAAGATAAAGTCTTGTAAATCAAAATTGTACAAGCAACAGTCTTCACCCTCGGACCCTTCTGAATAGGTAAGATAATTTCCCGGCAATCTTTATATTTATTACAGGGTTTAGTAGCTATTACTCACAGCATTGGTTTACAAGAATCAATTTTAGGGTTTTTTCGTGGCTTTTGGTTTTCTCCTGAATTTAGTTCCTGAAAAATATTTTACTGTAAAAATTGTCGTTCACAACTCTTGTTTTTATTCAATTTTCCTCGTACGTTTTTTCTAATTAATAATTTTGGGGGAAATTCATCATCAGAACTTCTCTTTGTTATATTTAACCAAAAAATGTCAATACATAATTGGAATGCTCTATTAGCGTGTTGAATATTTCCGCCATTTTCATAATTTTTCAGTTTTTTTTCCTGGTTAAGTGGAGGCCTGCTGTGCGAGTATGGTGGGAGTCGGTGGAACAGAGGACCTTGAATTCAAGTGGGGTAAAAAGAAACGAATTGGTGGGAAAAAGATAGATGTTCAGTTTTATGAATCTTTTTCTTATGATGGTGTTGATTTACTCTTTATGAAAATATTTATCTTTATAAGGCAGGCGAACCATTGCCTTATCTTGGAAAACTTATAAAAATATGGGAGACTGCTGATAAATCGAAGAAAGTGAAGGTTTTATGGTTTTTCCAACCTTCGGATATCTCAAATTATCTTGTAGATGAATTGGCACATCCAAAGGAGATATTTTTAGCGTCTGGTGAAGGAGCAGGCCTTGCCAACATCAATCCATTGGTAATTGTGGTTTTATAATAATTTCATTACTCTGATATTTCATTTTCTAGAAAAAAACTGTCAAATTTCTCTGTGTGCCCTGATTGTAATTCACAATTTGATTTCGTGATTTTTAGTTGTGACTGAGAGCAGGTGTATTATTTTTTCATTTCTTTTTATTTGAGGAAGTACTTCCAGCATGATAATTTGAGGGGCTTTCTATTCATTTATTAGTCAAGTGTTAATTTCCCCTTTTCGTTTAGCTGTTAGGCCATTTGAAAATTTCTTGCATGAAGTGGGTAGATAACAGTTCAACTGGAACTTTTTCGAGAGTTCTTTTCTCTTCTGTACTTTTGACACTTGGTGGGCTACAAAGTGGAATAATTTTGGTGTAGCATTCTTATAATCCTTGAATATGGTAATTTATGTCCAATTCAATTTAGCCTTAAGGATATTAAAGTTTTGAATTGAATTGTTGTCAGTTTATGTCTGAAGTAGTATCTTGTTAGATGTTTTCATTTTTAAGTTTGCTTGGCACTTCAGCTAACATCTCTAAATTGTATATAGGTTTATACAATTGGACAGCTCTTGAATTTTGAAACTGTTAAACTTACATTTATCTACTTAACTGCTAATTTTGTTTGCATATAATTCAGGAAGCAATTGGTGGAAGGTGCAATGTAGTTTGCATTTCAAAGGATAGCAGAAATCCTCAACCTTCTGACAGAGATCTCAAAATGGCTGACTTTGTGTTTTACCGTACTTTTGATGTTGGATTGTTAACTATCATGGATAATATAGATGAAAAAATTGCTGGAACTGAAGGTATTTATTTTCTTGTAATCTATTGCTCTCTTTCATTGTGGTTTTGAGTTTGATGATGGTTGGTATTAATTGTTGAAATCCCTGTTTCTATTTCTCAAATTGTTGCAGTTAAATTTATTTTTAACCAACAGTTTTCTGAAGCCTTCTTCTGTCCATAACTTTAGCGTGGATGATAAAAATGCTAGTGAAAAGGCTATGGAAATAAATGGAAGAATGGTTTTGTCTAAGCTAAACTCATCTGAGAACCAAATTCCTGAAGATGATAGACAAGAGGAACAGAAACCTGCGGTTGCAGAGAAGCTTGCTCCCAATGATAGACAAGAGAATGGCTTTAAATACAAATCTGCTTCAAGTTTTGAAGTTGAAGAGAATTCAGATGTAAAAGTTCCATCAATTAAACATAATATCTCCCAGAGAGAGAAGCTTGTTTTGGTGTAGTTACAGAGTCATGTGAATTGGCCAAAGCAAATGACAAAGGAAAAAGTTCTGGTGATAAGACAGGTTTTAGCCGTATCATTAAAGAAAATGCAGACTCAAAAGTGTCATCAGTTAAACAGCAAAACCTTCCGTTGAAAAGATAGATCATGCCAATCAAGTCAAAATTGATAAAAAATTAGGATACAAGTGAGTTGGATGAGAGACAACATAAGAATGCAAAGCTTAATAGTTCTGTGAAGTCTCCAATGACAATGAAAACTCAAGACATCCTACAGATCCTCGTTGGACAGCCAAAACTCTTCCAATAAGCTGAAAATTGATGATAAACTCACAAAACCTACTAACTGCAAAATCCTGCATTGCCTCCAAATGATGGTAAAAGAAACTGGTGACAAAGCTGTAAAAGTTACCTGAATGCCTGATTCTGTAAGTGGTATTTTGGGGATGTCTTCTTCCTTCCCCCCCCCTTTGACCAATTTCATTTTAAAGATTATGTTGAGGGGACATGGGGTTCTAATGCACATTAAGCTCAGAGCATGATATTGGTATTATTTGATAAGAAAGGTGTGATTACTTTGCAAAATTTAACAGTTACTATGCCAATTTTGAGATTCTATTTTAAGAGTGATGGGTTTGTTGATCTCATATTATTATATAGATAGATAAATCTTGTGAAACCTTTCTTTTCTTTGTTCAGTTAACCAAATTAGAGCCTAATCTCTTCCTCCGAATTTGATCCTTTGAATAGTGTGGTCTCGTATGCTTGTTTCTCCTACCTGGTTCCTGCCTTTACTACCTATTGTGGATTACTTCTGTTATCTCTGTGTTGCTCCCTCTGATGTGGAAATTTCTTGCGAAGATTTACTTCTTACATGTTATTGTTTATTCATGCTGACAGGATAGAAGCAATTGGTTTGGTGAAATTGTAAGGACTCTTCAGCCAGTCCTAAAGCGATTGCAGAATGTTGTTATGCTTTCATAAAATTAGTCTACAATTTAAGCTGATCTTTAAACCGCCTCATACATTGTTTCCGCCTTGGAAAGAAAGAATGCCGGATGCACATGAGCATGGAAAACTTGTTCTGTTTCAAAATATGGATCCAACTTACTCTTCAGCGGATGTGGAGGTAATAACAATTATGAATAGAAAATCATGTTGTGTTGTAGCATTTTGTATTCCATGCATATATTTCTGTTTTCTTTTTCTTTTCTTTGTTACGAAGAATATGTGTTATTTTTTTATAGGAATAGTAGGCCTCGTTAAAAACCTCCCTCTTAGATTACTCCAAAAAGGAGTAACTAGCGGAAGGAGGAAAGAGTGCCTAATTTTATTGAATAGATTAACTATTACAATAACATACACCAATACAAGGGAAAAAACTTTACAATCAACCGATCCCCTCCTTAGCTAATTTATCTGCCTCCCAATTACAGCCCCTTGGAATAAATCTAATAATAACCGCCCTCTCGAAAACTAAGGACACAATATCCAAAACAAGGGGTCTGAAGAAAATAGGAGCCGATTTAGGTAACAAAATCCAGTCCACTGCAGATTTGCAGTCACTTTCCAAGATCAATCTTCCCCTCAAAGCCCACTCTGAAGATAGAAAAATGTCAATGCCTTGAAGAATATGTGTTATTATTTTAGGATATAGTTTGGACTGCCTTCAAGAAAACATGCAGAGCAAAGGTGGTGCAGCAGACTGCATATTCTAGCCCTCATTCTGGTATGAATATATTCTATATGGAACTTTCATGGAAAACAGTTTTCCTCCCCGTGGAACTGGAAATTTTTTTTGGATTATCTGAATATGAAACAAAAAGTTGTGAAAATAATAGGAAATATTCTTGTTACTTTGAATAGCTAGAGGTCCTGATACAAAACTCTGCTATTCTCATTAGGACATGATATCTAGTCAATATTTGAGATATCAAACAGGATATCAGAAAAGGTAAGACTAGAAGGCTGGCCTAATGTTTGTAATGCCTGTTGGTGTTGCCTCAAGTGATCTTTGAAGTCATATTGTGTCTGTATAATATCTCTTCATGTCCTTTATCATTGCTTTGCTTCCTAACAGTTTATCATATACCTATATTTTAATGTAAAACTAAAAGCACAGCCTTTTTAGGTTACCTCAAATATAGCTTATAGTGTGTATTGAGTATTTAAGGAAATTAGTTTGTTCATGTTGTAGGTCAAGCTTTTGCTATATTCAATACAAGGGAAGTAGCGGAGGGGGTTGTTACAGAATTGGATAAGGGATGCTTGTTGCTACCGAATCAGAGGTATGGTGCAATCATGTTCGATATCTGGTGCTACAAATGCTATCGTAGTGCATTTTCTGTAGCGTCTTGACCTCATTAGATTCTTTTACCCTTGTTTATCATGTATTTTACCTTTTTCACTTTATGTTTCTGTATCTCTATGCTGGTCCGTTATTGTGGATTTCTGTCTTATTCATAACCTTTAGATTAATTTGCAGCATGTAGAAGGCCTTAAGAGCTGTGAGGATATTATTTATTTCTTCTATTCCTTGTCGTGTAGGCCACTTGTTGCCAGCATCCCAAGTCCCTGCCTCTCAAAGAGAAGTGTTTGCAGGTCATCTCATTGTTGATAAACTCAAATCCCTACGGGAGATGGTACCTAATTCTCCTCTTTCTTTGTCTCTTGGTTTGTAGGTCTGTTTGGTGTTAGCATGTTTGCTCGGTTAATCACGCCCTCTACTGCATGAATGCAGTAAATCTGTTTTTATTTTGTGGTTTCTTTTTTCCTTTTCTGATAATTTGTTGCGGGTATTCCGGTCCCCCCCGGCCAAAACAGAAAGAAGCAGTATCTACTTCACATTGTTCCCAGCCCAACACACTTGAATATGATATGGCCATGGAATGGTGCTTAATGACAGAAACATCCAATCAGCTATGGAAAAAATTATACGAGGTTCCAAATTTCTCTGTCTTTGTATGCGTTCTACCTTTTGTTGCTTTGTGTTAACCATCTATTTGGATTTTTAGCAACAATGGAAAGATATAAAAGAGTGAAGGCCTACTTTAAGACCAAATGAGCACTGATGATTGGTTCCCCTAATTTGGTAAGTACAACCTACTAGCTACTACTCTGCTCTGTTTTAAGCATAATATGCGTTTTATTTATAAACAAACGGTAAGGCTGCTAAAGTTCTAATTTTCTGTATAGTATTCCATTGATTTAAAAGGAAGCAATTTGTGAAGGAGTTTCTGATGTGAAGGTATGGTCTACAACTACAGCATTTCCTTATGTTTTACCTTATTTTCTTGTTTTAGTTAGTCTATAGGCCTTATTTTCTTCAGTTGATAATTTTATACAGAGTATCCAGAAACCTCTTGTGATACCAGCCGTGTTCTCACTTTAACTGGGCGATGCATTGTTGAAACAGATGGAATAATGAAATATCGAGGCCTGAGCTCAGCATCAGGTAATCCAGGCAAATTTTGGAAAGATAAGTAATTATGATTCGATGTCAATTTTAGCATGATGATTAAATCCTCTTGTATGCATACATGTACGGTTATGGGCAATTGCATTATCCATTCGGCGGTGCTCGCTTTTTTGCTTGAAGAGTGTTTTCTTGGTTGTTTGTTATGTTTCCTCATGATGAACAGCTCTTGGGCGGTTTTTGCAAATTGCAACCAACTTCCATGCTCAGGTTCTTCCTCAAGACAAAATCTTTAGTCTTACAAGTTGCCCCAATTATGAGTGGATACATCAGAATTAGTTAATCTCATTTGTTCTTATAACATCAAGTATTTCCAAATGGTAGCCCTCGGTCTGTGGGTATCTAGTTGTTGCAAAGCATGGGCTATTTGTTAATTTTTTTTTATATGAGTTTCCTTATTTTATTTTTTAATTAAAAATGTAAATATTGCTCGAGTAAATTGCTTGCATTGTGATCTACTATTTCTATGCATGGTCATCATTTTTTTAATTGTCATTATAATTACAAATTTAATTATTTTGGTTATTATCATTAATATTTAATGTGTTTATTTCAATCCCATAAATTCATACATTTTATAAATTCTATTTTTAAATATTTTAATATTTTTTTCTCGAATTTATTATTTTTATCATTTTACTTCCAAAACATCATAATCAATCATCGTCCTTTTTACTGTCTATCATCCCTTGAAAATAATGTTAATGAAGTTATCCAATTTTGTAAGTCTAGTAAGGAAATTGAAAAAAAAATACAATAATCAAAATAAAAACAGACTAATAGTTGAGTGGTTATCTAAGCAGTTTACCCATGTTACTTTCACCTGGTTATTTTCAAATATAACTGTTGAAGATGTCACGCAAAATATAATAAAAGACATCCATCTAATTTCCGCTCACCTAATAACTAATTCACGGAGATCATGGTGGTTAAGTTCAATGGTAATACTCTTCTCTTTTGTTTCTTTCTAATTTCCTCTGCTACATGAACCACCCTTTGTACTCATTATTAAAGCCCCCAAATAGAAACGTATAGAGCAATTGTAAATCGTAAGATGTGATTAAAAAATTAAAGGATGATGAAAGGCGTCAATCAAGAGAATCGCAAATCTGATGAAATTAATCAAGCACGACGTCGTAAAGCTTTTAATTTTGTTTGAATCTGACCCTTTTTTGAAAAGAGAAATAGCGGGGGACACCTGGTAATCAATTAGAGCGAGTACGAAGGGATTCCCACCCAACCTTTCTCTCATCTCTCTCTTTCCCTCCCTCTGCTCTGCATTCTGTGCACCCTCTCTTGCCTTCACTTGGTCTTTCTCTTCTTCTCTCAAATCTAACCCGACCCGTTTTCAAACCAATAAGAATCGATCTACCGCCTCCGGTTCGGTGTTCATATCTTAGTCGTTGGGAACTCAAGTTTTTTACATTTTTTAATGGGTTGCGCTCAGTCCAGAATAGATAACGAAGAATCAGTGGCTCGTTGCAAGGACCGAAAATACTTGATGAAAGAAGCGGTTGTAGCTCGCAACTCCTTTGCAGCTGCTCATTCTGCCTACGCCATTTCCTTGAAAAACACCGGAGCTGCTTTGAGTGACTATGGCATGGAGAAGCTGAAGTGCCTCTCCTAAACACTCTTCATATCCCCCTCCTCTTGACTCTACTCCTCAACCGCCTCCAATGATGGAAAGTCTCCCTCCACCTCCACCGCTTCCTAACTTCTCTCCTAACCCCGTCCCAATCAAACGCGCCGTTATGCCCTCAATGCCTGTCAAGAGTCGCAAGGAGTTTGATGCTTCCCCTATTGAAGAAGAAGAAGAGGATGAGGAAGAAGAACATCGCGAGGGAAACGATAAAATGATAATAATAATAAGAAGAATGAGAAACAATTCAAGAGGGCCCCGTAGGGAGGAGATAACTCCCACAAGGACTCCCGAGAACAACCACGTGGACCACCACCCGCCGCCGATGCCCGAAGCTAAAAACGTAGCCTGGGATTACTTCTTAATGGTTGACGATAACATGCCGGGTCCGAGCTGGGATTTGGACGACGAAAATAATGAAGTTCTAGTACAAATGTTGATACTTTAGAGAACAATGTCTTGATGTGGGTTTTAGCGACCCCGGCGGAGTTGATAGTGAGATGAGCCAAAGAATCCAGAGAGGCGAGAAGGTGGCGATGGAAGTGGAGGTTGATGATGACAAAGGGAAGCAGCAGGTACATATTGAGCATTCTAAAACGGCTCCGGCAGATTTGAGGAGAATGGTGAAGTCCGTTTGGTGTGAATTTAATGGAGGTTTTGAATGAGATTGATGATCATTTCTTGAAAGCCTCAGAGAGTGCTCAGGAGGTTTCCGAGATGCTGGAAGCCACAAGGTTGCATTATCATCCCATTCGCTGATAATCGAGGTAATCTTTTTTGTTCTGTATTGCTTTGGTCTTAAGTTATGGCTGTGACAATATGAGTTTTTTTCCCCACAGCTGATGATTGGAATTGCTTGTGTTTGATCAAAGCACCAATTTGTCAACATCTTTTCTGTAAAAGATTGAAGCATGTTTAGATCTGGAAAAAAACAGAAACTGTATTTTTTTAATGGGATTTCTTTACATTTAGATCTTGTTGTCCTTTAGCTTTACGCGAGAATCTGAACTTATCCCTAGATCTTTTACTTTCTTCTATAACTACTTAAAGTTTGAAAGGGTGAATGACTGAATGGTCATCACGTTCTTGGTCGAAAATTTTGGCTTCAAAAGTTAATGACAATTCTATATTGGATTGAGATTTGAGAATGTGTGTTCATATTGTGGACATATATTGATAATTTCCGCGATCCTGTTGATTGTAGGACATATCGATCATTCCAAAAGGGTAATGCGTGTCATTACATGGAATAGGTCGGTAAGAGGTATGACGAACGGTGAAAATGGAAACCGTGAATTTGATTCTGAAGAGTGTGAGACTCATGCCTCTATTCTGGAGAAGTTGCTAGTATGGGAAAGAAACTTTACGAGGAAGTGAAGGTGCATTTTTTATACTGGCTTTATTGTTTTCTCTGTTAGAATTATATTGCCCGCTACCTGCCGTGGCCGTCTTTATTGCTTCCTTGACTAGCACCTTTCCTGGTTCCCTTTTTTTAATCAATTGAAAAGCACCATATGCTACACATGAAGTGAAGCTATTTTTTTGTTCTTCTGAATCTTATGAATTTGGTCCTTGTTTGTAGCAAGGGGAGCTTGTGAAGCTCGAGTACAAAGGAAGCTTGCTTCGTTAAACAAGCAGAAGAAACATGGAGCTAGTGCTGAATCGTTGGAAAGAACAAAAGCGGCTGTAAGTCATTTACACAAGAATGTAGTTGACATGCAGTCCATGGATTCAACAGTGGCAGAGGTTAACCGAATACGTGATGAGCAGTTGTATTCGAAACTTTTTATGCTTGTTGATGGGTAAGTTTTTAATATGAAAATATGAGAAAGAAGGATGAGAGTTTATGCTTTATTTGTATTTGGTATCTGTCTTTATAAGCTTATCCCAAATGAGAAAGAAGGATGAGAGTTTATGCTTTATTTTGTATTTGGTATCTGTCTTTATAAGCTTATCCCAAATTGCTTGTGTTGCTCGTACATATTGAAATAAGAAACCAAATTATCACCCTGGTTTCGATTATGTACTTCGCTTATCGAAATGAATTCATCATGACCATAAAAGTCGACATTCTAATTTGCAGGATGGCTAACATGTGGGCAAGGATGTGCACACATCATGATAGCCAGCTCAAGATTATTGAAAAGCTCAGATCTCTCGACATTGCCTTCGCCTCCAAAGAAACAACAAAGCACCACCACGAGCGCACCATCCAACTTCATGATGTTGTTCAAGAATGGCATTCACAGTTTGATAAGCTTGTCACTAATCAAAAGCAATACATTCAAGCTCTCCACAACTGGTTAAAGTTAAATCTCATCCCTATTGAAAGCAGCCTGAAAGAGAAAGTCTCGTCTCCTCCGCGAGCGCAGAATCCTCCTATCAAAACACTCCTTCAGACGTGGCATGATTGTCTTGAAAAGCTTACAGACGAGGTAGCTAAATCTGCTATTTCTTCATTAGCTGCCGCGATAAAACCATAATCATTAATCAAGACGAAGAGATGAAGCTAAAGAGAGGTGCGAGGACACCCGAAAGGAATTTATGCGAAAGAGCCAGGCATATGAAGAATGGTATCATAAGTATAAGCAAAGGCGATCCGTGTCGGATGGAACAGATGCAGAAAGAGGTGAAGATGCAAGTGCAAAGGATGTCGCCGTATCCGAGAGGCAGTTTGCAGTTGAGAGCTCGGAGAAGAGGTTGGAACAGGAAGTTGAAGCTCATGAAAAACACTGCATTCAAGTGAGAGAGAAATCTTTGGGAAGTCTTAAAATCCGACTGCCGGACCTATTCCGGGCTATGTCGGACTATTCCCATGCCTGCTACGATGCTTATGAGAAATTAAGGGCTGTCATCCAGTCACAAAAACCAAATAGTTCTTCATAATAGACTCTGCTCTGTTTTGCCAGTGTTGTCTTATTAGTTTACGTAACTTGGTGAAGTGCAGTTTTGGGCAATGCAGTGCAGCAACGTGTTATTT